TATCGTGACCTCGATCCACTCGGACACCAACTTCCCATCTCAACAGCACCTTTTTGAATTTTCCCTTCTTTTTGTCATCTTTCAATCCCGCTCGTGCCATTGACTTTTTATCTCAACTAAAAACCTTAATTAATTGTGATATATTAATTGGTCAAGCGGACCACGAAATTAGTGAATTATATATAAACTATACCAACTATACCATACTATATCTAAACTATACCAACTTAGACCAAACTTAGACCGGTCTACTAACCGATCACTGGCATGTGAGAAAACATCTCCACAACATGGGAATATACAGTGATGATCCTATCTGCAGATTATGTAGTGAGGAGGATCATATCATCTTCGAATGCGAAGCGACGGCTCAGTAAAGACATAACCTATCATACGGAAAAAACCTAGGGAATGAAATTGTAGCAACAACAGACAATGATCTAATACGTCTAAGAAAAGGATTGAGTCGATTGATTGAACTAGGGAACTAGGAAGGTACAATAAGCTAGGAGGTTTCAGTTTGTGGGGGCACATACCCCGCTTCCTAGAGACCTCATCATCATCATCACGGGCTCAATTAACGGAAAGACGTATTTTTAATTTATTATACATAATGAGTGAAGCTTCAGCATGTTGAATTTGGTAAGTGGAAAATCAGAGGGAAGTGGAAAGGTTCATAGATCTTCGCTGGCTATTAAAAGTTTTATATTTGAACTCAACAATTATGCTCTTCAGTCTATTCTATTTAATTAAAATATTATCATTATTGTTTTTTCCCAGTTCGCTTACTGTTATGGTAATTGCCCCCTTACGAGTTTTGCCCATCTTGCTTTATCTATTTACGACATCTAAGTCTTTTTCTAAACCTTAAAATTTCATCTTAAAAACTGAGTATCCACCCGTACAACTAAATGGAGGGTCGGCAAAGTGAAGGCCTTCATAAATTCATTCATACAGGCTAACCTTTCAAACCGTATGTACAATTTAAAAATCACACTTCACGTATTCATTGAACTAATTAACCAAAGTAATGTTCGACGGGCCTGTGGTCGAGTACTCGATATTCTTCGACAGACCCGTCCACTCATGCATAACTATTCACGCTAATAAATATATTCACTCCGGAGAGGTCGAATCCTCCTTTACATCAGACCAAAAATATGTAATTAATGGCCTGTGAGTACTCGATATTACGACACAGCCAGACCCACGCATACTTCAACACTCACCCAAATAAATTCAAAAAATAATTACACATTTTGATGATAATGATTACAAGAAATGATTTAATTTGAAAAATTTATACATATAATGTAAGAAATATTTTGTATGATTTATTTAATGAAAAAATTAATTACATATTTTGATGATGATGATTAAAATGATCATGATTAAGAAAGGATTAAGGAGAGGTCGAATCCTCCTTTACATCAGACCACAAATGTGTAATTAATGGCCTGTGAGTACTCGATATTACGACACAGCCACACCCACGCATACTTCAACACTCAACCAAATAAATTTATTCACATTTATTAGCTATTATTATCTTAGATATTGTAATAATCCTTGTAGTGACGGTTATGCCTCAGAACCTTTCACATATGGTGGGGTAGGTCCCACTGTCTCCTGAGCGATGCCAGTTTTTCGTGTATTTCTGTAATATGCTTTATGCGCCCTCGTGCCTTGGGACTTTCTACGATGGAATGGCGTGTGTCTGACGAGTGTAGCCTATCCTCAATCGTGTGAGAATAATTCTACGTTTATTTTTTTAATAACATTTATTAGGAATTATTTTTGTCTTTGGTTTCGTTTATAGTTATATATTGATCTCTCGGTCCCTTTTAAATAAAATACGTCTATTGCTAAAGTATTTTTTGCCAGTGAATTTTAGTCGAAATACCTCTCTGTTTTTCCTCGATCCTTTGGAAAACATCCATAATACACCCAAGCCCAATTCCTGTCCCTTGCTCAAAAAAAGGTAAAGTTTTAACACGTACGTAATTAAAATCACCATATCCTTAATTTATTAGAATAAATAAATTTATAAATAATTTTAAAACGTAACTTTAAAACCAATTTATTCTCTGCGATTTCTGGTTTTCGAAATAATTTGTCCAGGTTTGGAAAATAATCGTTCAGAGGTAACAGATATGCCACTAAGGCAACAAACTGAACAACCCCTGACAGGTTCTGATAGGTCACTTTCATAACAGAAGAATATGGGTCATTTCCTATTCCCAAAAGTGGAAATCAGGAAAAACTGAAAAAGTTTGTAAAACATCGACAGACCACCATCGATGGTCAGAAACATCGACACAGTAGCATAAAGTGACCACATTTTCATTGAGACAAAGCGGGACAAATGGGATGAAATGAGAATTACAATTGAGTTTTATATATTTTATTGTATACATTCATATACTTGTACAAAAATGTATTTATTATTAATTATTGGTAACTATAAAAATATTTGTAAAAAATAATAATTTGAACATCATGATTTTTAATCAAATTAAATTTTTTATTTAAAAAAATTATGATTTTCTTTCACGGTCATATTTTTGATCCGAGTGAATACTTTGCAATAGATTCGGATCATTTATTAAAATGTCGTGAAACATTTCACATGAATTGGTCAAATTATATTTTACACTTAATACAGATTTTAAAGTTTTAATGTTCAACTGCGTTTTTGCAGTTGTCCATATTTTATTGATACTAGAAAAAACAAGTTCTATTGCTGCATTTGTTCCTGGAAGGGAGAGGGCAAATTCTACAATTTTCAAAATATTTTGATAAGGAATATTATGCTGTTTAAATTGAAAGAATAACTCCGTCCATTATTTGTCTGTTTCCACATTTGCAGACAACCAACATTTACTTTTTTCATCTGTAACATATCTTTTTACCAATCACCTCATCAAAAAGATCATTTTTGCAAATATTATTTTTCGGAACATGGTTACTAATGTATTCAAAAGATTTTTCCACATATTCCCATAAAATCTCCTTTTTTAATGTCACCCAATGAAAATTTTTAATATCTTCGAATTGAACTGTCCATTCTTCAAGATATTCCAAGCAGTTATTATAAAAATTTTTGACATGTTTCAGTAAATCAGGTCGTTTAATGGCACCTTGTTCTTCAAACCTAGTGATGTCTTTTCGAATAATTAAAGGAATGTAATCGTTATCAATTCTTTCTCGTAATTTTGTTTTTAAATTATTGATTTCATTTGTCACTTCCGTAATTGAAATTTTAATTTTGTCCCCTTCAATAATTTTCACACCACTGTCTAACGGGAGTCCGCACTTATCTATCTATCATAGATATCACTATCTTAATTAAGCCGAGACGTAACGACAATGATCGAACACCACCGAGTAAATCTAACTCGGTACATTGCCTAATTTAGTTTACTCTGCATGCATTTTATGTGTTTTTTTAATGTATTTTTTATTTCTTTATATTCACCATAATACTTAATAAATAATAGGAAATATATTTTTACAGTACATTTAAAATAAGAAATGCAGATATTTTCTAAAAAGCGGGACATTTTAAAAAATCAGCGGGACGCGGGACAGTCCACCAAAAAGCGGGACTGTCCCGCCAAAATCGGGACGTGTGTTCACTTTACAGTAGCATCATGTTGAAAACATCGGACGTCAATGCTCATCCCAAATTCATGTTAACTTTATGTTTTGGGTTTTTTATTCCATAAAAGAAGCGACTTAGTTCTTTTGCCCACGTCGGTTAAAGTAAAAGTCAGGGCCTTCAGGGGGATCGTTTGTTCCTCCGCCGGTCACTTGAGAGCCAAATTTGAAAGCACAGGCGCCATCTATGAGCCAGAATTAGAAATAAACACGATTATTTGTTGTTTATTTCGTTTACTAAACACTCCTACATATAATTTTAGAAAATCTGTAAAAAACAAATACGTCCTGCATGTTTGCTTTCACGATTACGAGTTTAATTATTAGGACAGCTTTTTTTTCAACTAAAGTATTAATTTCTCGAAAGATTCGTTAAATTTAATAAAAAGTGATCGTATTTCGGTTTCGGAAAGAAATTTTGTCTTCAAACTTGAATCAATCGGAAAATAAATAACTGCTGTAACGAGGCTTCGTAAAATCGTCGTGATAAAAATACGAATCACAGCTGAGCTCTTAAGTTTCATGCATCTTCAGATTACTGAATTCGTGTCGTATTTTATTGACAAATATTGGATCAAAATAGCCTTTTTTAAATTTTAACCTGAAACCGATACTACTTTCAACCGTATGCTCAAATATTGAAATTTAATGTGTGGTGTTTAGTGACCGTTCGTTAATGATTACGTTCATGTATCCGCAAATTACATATTGTAAACAACAATTACAGATTGTAATAATAAAAAAATGAAAAAAAGTTAATTATTATTTGGAGATCGTGAGATGCGGTCTGGTGTGACATAGGTTTAAAAAAAGTTTTCTTTGTCGTGCCAGCGTTTCGGTCTTTATTGAGATCATCTTCAGGGCTCAAAGTGTTTGTTTTCCGTGTAGATGTGTCATTATTGTCTATCATGTTGAGAGTGCCATCAATATCTCACTGGCACTCTCAACACGAACTAAATTATGACACATCTACACCGAAAACAAACACTTTGATCCCTGAAGATGATCTCAATAAAGATCGAAACGTTGGCACGATAAAGAAAATGTTTTTCTAAAACCTACGTCACACTAGACCGCATCTCACGATCTCAAAATAACTGTTATCAATATTGGTTAAATATTAAATAAAAAATTACCTCAAGTTTGTTGTTGACAGAATTTTCGAAATAGTTGGAAATAGCGCCTTCGCGACTTGATGTAAGCGGCTTTTTCCTCAGAACTCAAAAAATTCAGCAACCGCTCCACCGGCTTGGGCTTATTTTTCATTTATTTATTTATACTATCCCCACTGCTTTGGTTTTTTTTTGTGTAATCATAGTTTTTTCTTTTTTTGTGTAAAGTCGCAGATTAGTCACAAACTGACGTCACGAGGCGAACGGATATCATTCTGCTATTCGCTCTAGTCTCTTTCGAGTCCACGGCACCGACAGATAAAACACCTGCAGTTCAACAATGCCGTAAGTTTATTTTCATTAAAACACTTAAAAAATCCGAATCTGTTTAATGTTTATCATCGTTATTCAATATTACGACCAGTTGTAGATTTAAGAAGTTTACAGGACGAATACCTACTGCTGAATACAAAAACTGAACTTTCCTTACACAACCCTTTTTAACTAGGAACGATAAATTTAAATTTCTTGCCATTCATGAGAATACATATGTATTAATTATAATATATGCTAAGACATGATTTTATTATTTAAAATTAGCGGTGTTTTTCTTTAAAAAATACGTTTAAATAAAACCACACGAAAGCTCCACAATACTCGGACAATACTCGGCCCATCCATGAAACTTATTAACAACCGAATCATTTTAACAGTAACTGCACCGACCACTAACACAACTTAAAAAAATAAATTAATTATTAACTATTAACCTAGTAAACGAACGGTTTTTTTCGAACATTAACCAGTCGACCAGTCACCTATGCTTAAGCCGTTTTTTTATTAACCTTTGATTTTTAAAAATAAATGAAAATTGGATTATAAAAGAAAAAAAATTGTAAAAATAATTGACAAAATCAATTGGGTATGATTTTGAAAAAGGCTTACTAATGTAGTTGTTAGGCCGTTTTGACCGCGTCATCAGATCGCCATGCTGTCCGATAACATTAGTTTATTTTTGTTTTGATTTGTACCGTTTAAAGCTTGATATAGGTATACGATAGCTTTTAAAAAATGGTTGACAAGAGTTTTAATTTAAGACTACAATTAATATTAATCTATTAATCTAAATATGAAAATCTAAATATTTCAATTTTAAAATTCAAGATAATAAACCTTCATAACCCTCCACCGTTTTAGAAATTATAAAAGTGGGGTAAATCTGTTGTTTAATCTTTTTTAAAAATATTCTTACTCACAGTTTGCTATATTACGTTATGCTTAACTGTTTAATATTAGAAATTCAAAAAATGGTTAGCATAAATTATATCGAGACTTGAGAATATTATTGTTAGTACTGATTAGAAAAAGGAAAAAAGAAAAACAGCTGCTTATCTACTAAACTATTATTTTTTTAATAAATTGTACTTGGTTAAATAATAAATAACCTCCTTAATACTACAACTTGACCAAATTTCCCACAAATAAAAAGCCTTTTTTAATTAGTGATGAATTCGTTTTTACTTTGGACTACACAGAACAGGGCAAATTTAGACGACCTTTCGACACCCACAAAACATCAATATTGTCAAAATATTCTTTGTATAACAGTACACAAATCTTGAAAAATTTTCTATCTAGGATAGACAACAGACAAATTTAAAAAATTGAGATGTACGTTAAAGAAAAGCCGTAGAAAGTAAGTTAAAAACCCAATTTATCTTAATAAAATTAATTATTCAGAAATCGTGAGATGTGGTCTGGTGTGATGTAGGTTTCAGAAAAACATTTTCTTTATCATGCCAAAGTTTCGATCTTTCTTGAGCCCTGAAGATGAACTCAATAAAGATCGAAACGATGGCACGATAAAGAAAATGTTTTTCTGAAACTTACGTCACACCAGACCGCATCTCACGATTTCTGAATAATTACCGATTAACGCTAACCTCCACACCTTAATAAAATTATTTTTACTAATTTTGCATTGAAAAGTAAAAAAATCAGGGATAGGGTAATTTGATAGGAAAGAAAAAACACTCATTCCCTATGGCAAGAAATATATCCCTCATCAAAACTTATAAACTATTATTAATAATTTAGAAAATTAACAAATATGAACACCTTACAGTCGAGCTACGTTATATCGTGGATATTTTATTTAGTAACTTAGTAGCTGAAAAACCAACTTTTAAAAGCATCTTTTATAAGCTACATCAATGTATTTTAAACAATTGGTTATCCTTTTAAAGATATTTATAAAAATACGAAACACAGGTTAACTACTAAACTACTTATTTTTCTAATTACTGGAACTTGGACAAACTTGACAAAAAATCTTCATTTAATATTATTCAATTCCATTTTAAAGCAGTTTTCACAAAAGAGGTTGAGATTAGATAAACTCTTTTAGTGTTATACACTCACGAAACGTGAAAACGTTTTGTTAGGATAGTGATAGACATATATGGAAAATATATAAAAGTTAAAAAATGAAACAAAGCTGGATAAATGGTGGGTTATTTATACTACAATTTTATAAAAAGCCGACGGATACTCACATTTCTTTCACGAACTCCAAAACTAAATTAATTGAATAGATTAATCTTAAAAATTTATACATATTATATAAGAAATATTTTGTATGATTTATTTAAAGAAAAAATAATTACACATTTTGATGATGATGATTACGAGAAATGATTTAATTTGAAAAATTTATACATATAATGTAAGAAATAATTTGTATGATTTATTTAATGAAAAAGTAATTACATATTTTGATGATGATGATTAAAATAATCATGATTAAAAAAGGATTATTTTGGACCTAATACTATAAAAAATCAGACTTGCCCAAATATTGATTACTTTGTAGGTTTGAAATCTGTTTTTCAGGTATCAATAATAAACTCCATAGTTTAAAACTCGTCATTTTTTTAAAATCGTTTATGTTTTTCGTAATAATCAAATTGCAGTCAAAAATTCTTCGTTGATACCATTAGAAAGCTCATAAAACCTTCAAAAATAGGACTGAAATAACAAAAATGATCCATAATAGAAAATTCGAAGGAAAAAATTAAAAAGAGGGCCATAAGCACAGAACATTTTTTAGAAAATTAAAATATCGAAAACCTCCTTGTGAGTATGAAGGTTTATATTTAGAATTCTACCACAAACTAAATTATATTTATTTGTAAACAAAACTCGCAATGAGAAGATTTTAGGTGCATTAAATATAGAATATTTTATCATGATGTTTAAAATAAGTAGAATAAAGTTCGACATTTACCTATAAATAATATAAAACCTTAGATAAGTAGTGATCAGTAACTTTGAACTAAAACATTAATTAATAAATAATTTTAAAAGATATGTTCTGTTTTAAATCACTCCTACTGTGTTTAAAATAAAAAATGTATAAAACTAACTATTTACCCAAATGTTTGGTGATTAGTGACCGTTAATCGATATTTATTTAGAAATCGTGAGATGCGGTCTGGTGTGATGGTGTGATCACATTTCTCTCGTCCGATAACTTCAAAATAGCTTTCAAAAATGATAAAACAATTCAAACACTTTTTTCCAAAATTAAAGATCCCACACCAATAACAAATAAATCTGACGTAATCTACAAGATCAACTGTTTAAACTGTCCGGCAACTTACATCGGTCTTACATCCCAATATCTGGACAAGAGAGTAAAGCAACATATGATTGCAAAATACCTAAGCAAAATCCTACCGCACTCGCTACCCACCATCTTGAACACAACACAATTTCGACTTCAAAAATCCAAAAGTATTACACACAGAACAAAACAAACATAAACGTAATTTCTTAGAAATGGTTTATATCAACAGAGTAAACACAGCATCAATTACAGAACAGATACATGTAAACTTAGTCGCAGCTACGCCAATATCATTAATCAAATACAATACAAATAACATACCTATATCATTACATTACATTCCACACATCAAATATTTTTCACATAGTCTAATTGTCCAACAATTTAGCTTTCCTTTTCCTATTTATCCCTTTCTATATAATCCTGAAATGATAATCTGGCCGAACCATTGCCAACAGATATTTTCCCTTCGTCGGCCCTTTTCACCTCAAAGAAGCCGACGCCTTATACAAAAATGTGTTTTCTATAGCGACATCCTTCTCCACCCTTCAAAATCCAACGTATATAAACACAAAATCTCACTAGCACTCTCGACACGTCACGCAAGAATGGCACAATTACACAGAAGACAAACACTTTGAGTGCGTAGAAATACTTTGACTGAAAATATAAAAATATATATTTTGCATTGTAAAAATTCACATTTCCACATAATTGTTATGTGTAAACAATGTTTGTAAATCCCAGGCCCTGAAGATGATCTCAATAAAGATCGAAGCGTTGGCACGATAAAGAAAATGATTTTCTGAAACCTACATCACACCAGACCCATCTCACGATTTCTAAATAAATATTTATACAAAGTTACATTGATTTAAAGCTAATGATCATATTGATGGACTGAAGGAAATATTTTTGGCTTATGTAAAATTTGATTATTAAGCAAAACATAAACAACCTATTTAAGAATATTGAATTTTAACCTATGGACTTTTTAACTGTAATATCTTTTTAATAATCATCATGAAAAATAGAAAATTACATAAATTTTATCTTATTATGTATATAATATTTTGACAAGTTGGACTATAATATTTTTACTTTTGTATTATTAGGTCGAAATTTAAAGTATGTAATGATTTTTTTTTTAATAAAAAGCATTTACTTTCATACATATGTCTAACTTGCTAAGATATTATCTACATCCTACCGTAAATCTGAAAACCAAATTTAACTAAAATTATTTAAGATTATTTATTGGACAGTTTATTAGTAAGCTTGATCGAGTTTTATCATTAAGCTGAAATTAGTTTGGAGAGTTATCTCGTTTTAACGAATTCGTATCCCTTGTAGTTTTTTAAAGTCTATTGCCAACAATTTTTTAATTAGATTAGCTAGAGCTTTAGAGATTACGAAAGAAATCTGAGTGTAAAAATACCACTTCTATCACTATCCTGAACCTGTTTTTTTTAAAATGATTTGGATAAGTTCACTAATTTTCGTGGTCCAATTTGGCTTGACCAATTAATATCTTTAAATTAATTAAGGTTTTTAGTTGAGATAAAAAAATCAGTGTCACGAGCTGGATTTGAACCCACGACCTTCTGCTAGATACGCCGCGACTCTACCACTTGAGCTATCGTGACTTCCACTCGGACTCTAACTTCCCATGTCAACCCCATCTTTTGAATTTTCCCATCTTATTGCCATTTTTCAAATGTCGTGTAATCTATTTGATTCTCAGCGACAAATGAAATGGCCACGGATACACAATCAACCCAGATTTACTGTGAAAATATTGTAAGTATGTCAGTTAATAAAGGATTTACGTAAAATTTGTTTATAGGAGACAGAGAAATTCTGTAAGCGTAAACGAGGAACCCAGCGACACCAGAGAGAGATTGGTGAATTTGATCCTCAACAGGCGTCGGGAAGCGCAAAGGAATCTCCATAGGCTCAACCCGTTGGAAGTCGCCCTGCCGAATTTCGAACTGGAACTTTTGGCGGCTGAGCGCAGGGAGATACAGTTGATCTCAGCAAATGGAGATACCAGTGGGCGAAGAAACGCAGTCGGACGTATAAACATCCCGAAAAACCCGACTAGTCAAACGTCATCGTTAGACGAGTACGGAGGAAAGATAATAAACCTTTACCCGTAAGTATCCGGTCAGATTTATTATTCATTGTGTATTGTTATTAAAATTGAAGCGTCTTACCGAATAGGTGGGTCTATGTCAAATTTTTATGTGCCGAATATGGCTACGTCTGTATTGTTTGGTATTCACCTCAGCCGTTGATCGTGTTTAATTTTTAATTTTTTTTTATTTTATTCTTCCACTTTCCCACTAATATTCAAATTGTATGAATTTCGAAGGGAAATGATAACTATTGAGGCGTGATGTTCAGGTTAGGCGTTAGTTAATCAATATGCAGTGTTAAGCCGGGAACACATTTAACCGATGCAACGCTATGCGAAGCTACCCGATGCTACCCGACGCCTTACCACGTTTTGGTAGGGTGTGCACCTCTATGCGACGTCAAGCGCACCCCACGTACAGTCACACATCGTGTATCACAAATCAGTATCGCAATCGCAACGCCTTATTTGTTCTTAATGCATTTTTTTGAGCAAAACCATGAAATAAATTGTTAGTTAAATTTTATGAGCAAAACCGTGTAATAGATTGTTAGTTAAATTCATTATATAAAAAAATAGTATTCCGTTGGTTTGATCAATTTTCTACCACACCATTATAATTATTTAAAAAAAATCAAAACTAATAGTTTTATATTTTAATTTATTTCATGGTTTTGCTCATACAATTACACTATTTCCGTGGATAGCGTCAGAACCGGACACTCATATTTTTATTCAAACTACATGTATTATTGTCGTTATATTAATTACAACAAACTTATTTTAATATAAACCAAGTTAACCGAGATCAAAAATTCATTAGTTTTGATTTTAAAAAAATTATAATGGTGTGGTAGAAAATTGATCAAAACATCGGAATACTATTTTTTTATATGTATAATGAATTTAACTAACAATTTATTACACAGTTTTGCTCATAAAATTTAACTAACAATTTATTTCAATGTTTTGCTCATACAATTACACTATTTTCGTCGAGTAGTGTCAGAACAGGACGCTCATATTTTTTGTAGTTTATTTAAAACAGTATAATAAAATTTGTCGTTATATTAATTACAACAAATTGGTTTGTGCTTAATTTAACTAACAATTTATTACAAGGTTTTGCTCAAAATAATTAAGAACAAAAGAGGCGTTGCGATTGTGATACTGATTTGTGATACACGCTGTGTGACTGTACGTGGCGTGCGCTTGACGTCGTATAGATGTGCATACCCTACCAAAATGTGGCAAGCCGTCGGGTAGCATCGGGTAGTGTCGCAAAGCGTTGCATCGGGTAAGTGTGTTCTGGGCTTTAAGCCAGAAACACACTTACCCGATGCTACGCCATGCGACGCTACCCGACGCAAATCCAAACTCCGATTTTCCATAAGATTGCATTACCCCCATGCACATCTACCCGATGCTATGCCACTCTAACCTACCCGACGCTCTGCGATCCCCACTGTCCAGATTTTCGTCGGGTAGCATCGAGTACAGTCGAAGACAAAAGAACCGGACACTCATATTTTTATTCAAAATACATGTATTGTCGTTATATTAATTACAACATACTTATTTTAATATAAACCAAATTAACTGTGATTAAAAATTAATTAGTTTTTATTTAAAAAATTAATTTTAATGGTTTGGTAGAAAATTAATCAAAACACCGGAATACGATTTTTTGATATAATGAATTTAACTAACAATTTATTGTACTCGCTTCGGCGGTACATATACTAAAATTGGAACAATTTATTACACGGTTTTGCTCATAAAATTTAATTAACAATTTATTTCATAGTTTTGCTCGTAAAATTACACCATTTTGTAATGTCGGGTAGCATCAGAACAGGACACTCATATTTTTTGTAGTTTATTTCAAACTAAGTACATGTAATTTTGTCGTTATATTAATTACAACATGTTATTTTAATATAAACCAAATTAAACGAGATCAAAAATGCATAAGTTTTTATAAACATTGTTTAATTATGCTGGTTAGGAGTAACTTTATTTAAAACAATTAAGTTTAACAAACAATTTATTAGATGGTTGTGCTCATAAAATTTAACTAACAATTTATTACAAGGTTTTGCTCAAAATAGTGCATTAAGAACAAAAGATGCGTTGCGCTTGTGATCGTGATTATTATGACAAACGCTGTGGACTGTACGCGACGTGTGCTTGCGTCGGATGGATGTGCACACCCTACTAAAACGTGGCAAGGCGTCGGGTAAGTGTGTTCTCGGCTTCAGGCAGCGTTAGACCCTTTGCGGATATTAAAGGTTCTGTGGTTGAACTTGACTGTGTTTAATTTTATTATTTTGCTTTCACATTGATATTCATTTAGTATGAGGTATTGCTGAAGATATTTTTAGTGGCTGAGGGTTTTGGTGGCCCTGACAAGGGCCGGTGTTATTGGGTGTGTAGAGGCGATGGTCGAAATCAATGACCGTGGATACAGTGAGTCGGTTGACTCGTGCCGCGTAAAAAAGTACACAGGCAATAATAGCCGATTGGCTGAGTTGAGAAGGCCAGGTCAAGGCTGATTATGCTGGTGCCCTTGCTGTTGTGCTGATGTCGGTGTTCCATTAATGAATGTGAAGACCTCGTCGAGGAGACGAGTGCCAAGATGTAAGGTGAGAGCTCGTCGAGTAGACGGGTATGAGGTCAGCGGGGCAGTGCTCCTGCTTATAAACGGGAGGCTCCACGCTGATTGGCTGCATCACCATTCTAGAACTGGTGACAGTTGATGCGGTAACTGCAGGTGGTCACCACAGAATTGAATAAAAATGACATGATCTCAGTTATTTGAGAGGGTAGCTGTTTCGTTTGGGAAGGAAAGGGTTAGGGTTGATGGTTCAAGGTTACCCTTTTGTCAATGTTTATTTTATTCTTTGCTTTTACAGCTATATTCACCATTTGGCTTTTATAGCTGTATTCAGGTAGCATGAGCTGTGGCTGAAGGTATCGGATACAAATAACTGTTTGTGTTCGATGGTTTAGATTATACATTTGTCAATTAACAGCCTTATGTTCTGCACCGGTTTGCTGATAGTACAGGTTATGTGGGTGGATTTGCAAGTGTCTCATTTGATTATTTTTCTTTCACAAGATGCGATATTAGCATTATGTAGTATGCTATGTTACCCCAGAGGATAATTACTAAGTTAATGGTTGGTGTTTGTAAAAATTTTGTACCCATAATTTCTATATACTGTACATTACCTATAACCTGTGAGTATGTCTATCGACTGTCAAGATAGGTGATTTATTGTTGCTAACTAATTTGTTCTTTTCACACTTTATTTCTTCTAATTTTCTAAAATACAAAAAGTACTAAGGCTATTGGCCTTGGTCTCTAAAGGAGAAGTGTGTATGGTATGTTCGTTCCATACGTATGATCTACCTGTATAAGCAATATTTGCAATTTGAGTCATCCTTTATAACGACCCAGTGACCACGATTTTATAAAATTGGTGAACCCTAGGAAATAGGTTTGGGCAATGAACACCCAAATATATCTACCAATAGGGGCATCGTCCACTACTAGTAGTTATATGCCGTCCCATACATGAAATGCGTTTTAGAAATTGTGAAACGTAACATTTTTATGTTCAGTTAGAGGTTTTAATTGTTTTAAATAGAATACATTTAAAATTATTCCTTTGTAGGTTAAACCCGGACGGGTCTTTTGCTGAAGGTTTTGATGAATCGGAAACGTCGGTCACTTATGAGAGGCGCCCCGAAACTGCCAGAAAAACCGCTATAAAAAAAAGTCACTCATCAGAATTGAAATACTCCAACAATTACAACGGCGGGCGGTATAATTCACCGTCTCCTCAATGCGCCTACAACGATTACGATTCATCGGATTGCGACAGCTATGATAGCTCGTTCGAGGAGAAGCACGGCTGTATTCCGCCCATCAATATCAACAGCAGGGATGCCAAAAAGCGTAAAACTGACCTCGAGAAATTCTTGGGATCGCAATTAGCCAAAGAGGCTGCGTTTAACGCCGCTGCGAAATCTGCGGGAGCCATCAAGCCTCGAGAAGAGCGAGTGGACATCATGGACATTTGGTCAAAACCGTTTGGCTGGTTTACTCTCCCTGGTGAAAAAATGCAAAAGTTCAAGTGATTCAGTTTCACCCAAAAACTTTTATCAATTTTTTTAAATTAAGTGTTTTTCTTTAAACAAATTGCCATTTTAATGATTAAATTTAGGCATATCCATTAATAATATGGTTTTTTAAATAAAAATAAATAATTTTATTGTGTTTATATATTCATTCTTTAAAAATATTGTTTAATTGGACTGCATAATTGTTTAATGAACCAAGGAAATAGATTATTAAATAATATACTACTAACTACTACTCGCATCTGCTCTGTTCATACCCACCTCAACTTAATCTTCTTCAATTTTGGTCACATACACAAAAAATCTCGTAAAATAAAATCATTTTTGTTTAAATGAGTCAATTTATAAAATAGCTTATACAACGGATCAAAGCGATGATAGGCCGATCAAAATGATAGCAAACGACCAAGATTCAACATACCGCAGACCTTAAGAATAAATCAAATTGATTAACACTGATTCTGGGTCTTTCTCGCAGTTATACATCCATCGTACTGAACAGCATGAAACCAAACAGGGCAACATAAACCAGCGAAAATAGTCGAACCGAGAATAAAGTGAATAGATGCCGATCGATTCAACATGAGTTGATCCACTCGAAGGCCAATAAACATCACTAAATGTAAGAATTATATAAATTGGTACCGTATAGTTTACCATTTCAGGGCAATTCAGTCTAAAAAAAATCATTGACGAAATAAAAAATTACAAAAATCCAAACAATTTACTTTGAAAGTTTATAGCAAAAACGATGACAATAGTAGGATAGAAATACATTTCTTCATGGATATGTAACCTAAACCTACTTAACGCAATCTAACTTGTCCTAACCATATCTAATAAAGTTAACCTAAATCTGCCTTATCCTGACACTAACCTAACTAACCCGTCTTTAACATTAACCTTATCTGAACACTAACCTAACTTAGTCCGTTTATACCTTTCCTAACCAAACCGTCTTTAACACTGACCCTACCGAACATAACCTAAACTTGACCTATCCAAACATTGACCTTTTTTAACCAAGTCCTAATATAACCTACCACGACCTAACATTGCCTAAACCTGGTTAGGTCTGTTCTACCAGTTTTAACTCTAGGTTCCTTACTCGAAAGTAATCAAACCCTTTTATAACATTTCCTAATCTAACCCTACACCAACTCCATCCTAACCTACTTAACCCCGCTTAACCCGTTTCTAGCCTTTCCTAACATTAATCCTAACTAATAGAAATTATGAATGTTGGAGTGAGTGTGGAGTTCAATCCTTTTTTTAAAAGATGGTTCCTACTCACAATACCTGACGATGAGCTAAAGGGCTCGAAATCCGGATTGTTGCGAAACAACTTAATGTGAGTCGGAACCATCTTTAAAAAAAAGGATTAATCCTAACTAACCTAACTTAATACAATGTGTACTCCCCAATAGTATGAAATCGATGACGAAAATAATCAGGCAACATAATTTGTGTATCCACTTCAAAAAATATTAATGTCAAAATCCACGTCATTAATTTATCAAACGTTTATCAGACTTGACTATTTTGTTTGCTTGAAGGTAGTCATAGTACCAGATATGCACTAATTCACTGTAAAGTTTAAAATTATTTTATTGGTTTCCAGAAATATAAATTTTAATCGTTAAAAGATGTTTTACACTTATTAACTGGACCATTCAACGATGTCTATCAAATGGGGTTGATGGCCTTCTTGCTTTGAAATAATAGTAGGGGTATTCACGATGTTTGAAAGATGTTAACTCGTATTAAATCGAATAGAGAAATGTCCAGTAAGATCGTAAATGCCCCCTTCTTTCCTTAGCATGTTAAACGTTAATTTTTCCGCAATGCTGCGCGTGGCGATTGATAGAACCAAAAATAACCCTATAAGAGTCTTAGAAGGCTTGTTGTTGTTTAATTTGGTTTTCTTTTGTGTTAAATTGTAAGATGCCAGTAGTTAATAAAAAAGGAAAATTAGACAACTGTTTCATTCAAAATGCTATCTATGCACTCGAAAATTAGTAACAAATGACACGCTTCAATTCTTGCCGACATACCTAACTTGTATCCTAACCTCTAACCGCCTGCAACTTTACAGGATAGGGGATGTATCTATTATGAATGAGAGTATAAGGACAGGTCAGAAATTAATAGAAGAAATGTATGGATCTGATTTAATTAATGCATATTTAAGAATAAAAATACGTGTAAACAAAAACAGCTGTTCAATTCATGGCTGCCATGTTGGTTACCTACGCCCTAACGGATAGCAATGTGACTACATTTTCGACCTAACATCTAAAGCTATAACAGTCCTTGAAGGCTTGTTGTTGTTTGTTTTGGTTTTCTTTTGTGTTAAATTGTAAGATGCCAGAAGTTAACAAAATAAGGACAAATTAATCAACACTTTCATTCAAAATGCTATCTATGCACTCGAAAATAGTAATAAATTACACGCTTCAATTGGTGCCAACATACCTAACTTGTATCCTAACCTCTAACAGCGTACAACTTTAAAGGATAGGGGATGATCCTTTAAAGGATGTATCTATGAATGAGAGTATAAGGACAGGACAGAAATTAGCAAAAGAAATGTATTGGTCTGATTTAATTAATGCGTATTTAAGAATAAAAATACTTGTAAACAAAAAACAGCTGTTAAATTCATGGCTGCCATGTTGGTTACCTACGCCCTAACGGATAGCAATGTGACTACATTTTCGACCTAACATCTAACATTGGCCCCACCCTGTTAGATCGAGTAATGTTAACTAGGGCGATTCTTACAAGTCTACGTTATCATTTTTCTCGATCTAACAGGACTTAACAGACTTTGTTAACACAAAGATCGTGAATACCCCTAGTGTCATAACTTGTATGTAAAATTGTAATACTTTCAATGATCAAATCAAAGAAGATAGTCTTATCTAAAAATTACAATTTTTTTCTGACCCTAAATAAATTTGTAAGACGTCTCTACCTTTTCTTTCCACGGCCAGATTTATTTACCTATCATCCAATAAAAGCAATTGCCGATTAGATATAAATGCTAAATTTTTAATTGTGTTCGGAAAGAAATAGAACCAACGGATAGATTGAAGGTTTAATTTATTCCTGTATAAACCCCTGTTAACGAGATACATTAATAAAGCCGAGGGATTTGGTTGAAAGACTGGCCCGGGGTGTGGAGAATCGTAAAGTAATCAATGCGATACCGATCTGATCATTCGTCTGCTCGTTAGTATAAGTAATTAAATCTCGCATCATCTTATAGCACACTTTTCTTCACTCATTTACATTAAACCGACCGAATAAAAACACTATTAATCTCTCCTTCCATGAGCAAACGGCCTCGGTGCAATTTGTTATTATTTAAAAGAAAATAAACAAATAAAAAGGTGTTTTATGCACTCTTTATTCAGTACATTCATTAAGATAACTGGTTGTGGTGTTGAGTCCAATTTACCCTAGCTTGTTTTATTTTTCAATCGAATCTAACTTGATTTAAACACAATTAATAAATTTCTATGCTCCCGATATCTAACATAAGCAAGAAAACATTTCAAAACATCAGTTTTCGTTTTGTTTAAATAACATAATGAAAACAGTTTTCACAAGTTCCATTTTAAATGTATTTTCCAGTAATCGTAAAATAAAGTCTTAAAATTTAATTTGCCAAAGTATTATATTTGATACAAGGTGTATTGTCTTCTCATAACGTCACAAGCCTGAGAGTTGATGATAGTTATTGGTCTCTACTCGCGTGTGAACGCAGTTCCTCACTGAAGATGGCGCAATGCAGAAACGCGTTTCAATAACTCAAAAAACACGCGAGTAGAGACACCCAGTAAATAACCTTGTGCCGGTTCAACGTAATTCACAAGCCTTTCTATTTAAAATGTGGTTGTTCTGTCTTCTTCATGAGCGTTTTGAAACACGTAATTTATTTTGTGATGCAAATTTTTGAAGATTTGCAATAAATAATTGTCATTATGTTTAGTATGACTTGTTTTATTTATATTCTCATATGTATCACGGGTTTAAAAAAGCAAAAAAAACAAGTATTCTGACTTCGAGAGTGATAGCAGAAATGGATTGAAAGTCCAAAGAAAAAGCCAAGCACGAGGACCTTGATTTGTGAAGCTCTTAAATGTGAAAAGTATCACAGCAACTACATAGTTCTCTCACAAATGAAAAGGCCGATCAAATTTGAGGAAAACTTCCCCAAGGGCACCAAAGTGGTGGTTAATGGTAGTTTAGCTTTATGTAAAAACATTAAAACATTCATGACCCTGCTTTGTCAAAAAGGGGACAGCATTTGCCATTTCTGGCCATCGACATCTAACAGACCAATACGACGAAAGGCAGATCAGAATGACCAGTTATCGTTCAACACACCACAAAACTCAAGAAGAAAGTCCTCAATTCATCGACACTGACCACGGGTCCATCTATTCTCACTGCACATATACGCATTCATTACTGAAGATGATATAAAGCCGAAAACTACCGCGTTAACCAGCTACAATAGATGGATCCAGAAAAAGTTAATAATGCCTGTTCGACATGTGTTTTCATACCCTCGAAGATTAGCCAATACTGCCAAGCATAATAATACATACATACAGTCACCAGGGAAACCGAGTCTGAAAAATCCAACGATGAATATAAAATAACTTGTGCAAAATAATAAAAATGGTATGATAGAAAACAAGCGCTTTGTATGCACGGAAAAACATTGTGACATGGATTTGTAACTTAATTCTCCATAACCTAACCTAACATAACCTAACCCACCCCTGACATTAACCCTACCTAACCTAAACCTGAACCCATCCAAAACCTACCCTAACCCGTCTATAACTACTCCTAATCAAAACCTCCCTAACATATCCTATACCGTCCCTAATACTACCCAACCTTTCCTAACTTAATTCTAAGGCACTCGCAACGGTTAAAGCATTGATACGGCAACATCACTGTTAGGTAAAGGTCCCACCCTAATCCGGCGGTCCGGAATTCTAACCTAACACCTACGAATGGGCTTTTTTAACTTACCCGCACCCCGAGGTTATTGCAACCTTGTAATTGAAATACCCTACAAAAACAAAAAAACCCTACACCTAACCTAAAATTTGTTTTTCCAGCCCGAAACAAACGTTCATCAAACGTTTATCAGATTGGACTATTTTATATGCTAGAAGGAAGTCATAGCCGATTCCTAGATAACCATCGTAAACTCGGTAAGTATTTAATTGAATTTCCGGAATTGATTTGAAGTCAAAAATAATTTTTTATTTAGGTTTTAATATTTGATTTATACTACTTAATCCATCTGGATATTTTTTTTTGTGGTGGGAGTTATTTCTGAAATAAATTTCTTAAAAATTTTATGTACATAACAAACGTAAAGTTAATCGGTTAATAACATCTAGTGTGAAAAAGGTCTATGATATAAATTCTTAAACTTTTGCGATCTCAAATGACAGCCGAAAACAGTAATTTTAAATATAATTAATCAATTCTTTTTTTAAAATCCATTATTTATTTAAATGTACCTTAACTACTTCAGTCATTTGTAAAACACTTTAGCTTTAAGGTTAGGGACGAGTTAGGTTAGTTTTGGGGTACTAGAGCAATGTAGGGTTAGGGACGGGCTAGATTACATATACATGATTCAGTCATTGTGTTATACTAAATAAAAACTATTCTAATTAATTATTCTTTTTATGTAAGAGTTTTGTTTGAGATGAAAAATTAATGTCAAGAGCAGGATTCGAACCTACTACCTAACTATGGTCACGACTTATATGGAAAAAAATTGGAATAATTAATATGTTACAATAAATTAAGGTTTTTAGTTGAGATAAAAAAGTCAATGGCACGAGCGGGATTCGAACCCACGATCTTCGGCTAGATACGCCGCTGCTCTTCCACTTGAGCTATCGTGACCTCGATCCACTCGGACGCCAACTTCCCATCTCAGGAAAATGAATTTTCCCTCCTTTTTGCCATTTTTCATCTCAACTAAAAACCTTAATTAATTGGTCAAGCGGACCACGAAATTAGTGAATTTAATAATTAATATGGTCAATTATGACCTCTAAGCAAATATGGATTAATTTACACCGCTCTTATCTAACAGCGGTTCTTTCGGGTCCGACAAGGATCAGATTACTCCGAATACTGCTCTCTGGCTGCGGGAGTACCGCAGGGCAGTGTGCTCGGACCAATCCTCTACACCCTTTATACTGCAGATATTCCCACTAAACCTACCACCCTACTTGCATCCTCCGCCGATGATACAGCTGTACTATCCTCCAATTCCGATCCTGCGGTTGCTTCGGAAGATCTTCAGGAACATATCTCATGTATAGCAGATTTGTGTAGAGAATGGAAAATGAAGATAAACGAAAGCAAGAGCGTCCATGTCACTTTTACATTCCGAAGCAAACCTCCTCTCACGATATACTAGAACAACGTTCCTATCCCCAAATCCGACTGCGTTCGCTACCTTGGGTTCCACCTAGACTCACGACTAACGTGGAATCAACATACATGACTCACACGACCAAACCTAAACAGACGGTATGGTCTACTGCACAGACTTATAGGACGAAATTCTAAACTATCGACAAAAAACAAACTTACAATTTACAACCGATTTGGACGTACGGAATAGAACTGTGGGGAACCGCTAAACCTTCCAATATCAAACGTATCCAATCATTTCAATCTAAAGCCCTCAGATCCATTGTAAATGCTCCTTATTATGTCTCAAATGCTACACTCCACAACGACCTTCAAATTCCTTATATCCAAAAATTTATTCCCCAAAAATTTACCAAGTTTCACAGAAAACTCTCCCACCATCCAAATAGTCTTGCCCAAACCCTGTCCGATATAACCCATCCCTACAACCCCATAAGGCGTCTTAAGAGGGAATGGCCCCGCGACCTCCTTTCCGAGTAAACTGTAAAAAAAACAAAAACAAAGTGAAGAGGGAGGATAAAATTGATTATTTTCTCCCCTCAATGTAAATAGTTGTACATAAGTTCATGTATCCGCAAATTTAATTAACGCAAAAAATTAAATATTAGTTTTTATTCGAATATATTAATATAATATAAATAATATGGGAAAATTGATTTTAGGAAAGTATTAGTGCAAATAAAAGATATTCAAAAATTTCGCAATTTTGCTTCCACATTTTAACAAAATTTGTGGAATAACTGAATCGGGTGTCTTCAATTTTCAGAATATATTACTTGATATTGCTCACTTAAGCCTTAAGATATATTTATCAAACTGCCCAAATAACGCCAATTTGCAACTAATTGTTGGGTGCAATTTTTTTCTGTGGTGAATAATTAATTGAAAACGTGGAAAATCCAAACCAATATCGTGCTTTTAATGATAGTAGTACGTTATCTTTACCACAGTAGTCGGACCGCCTTAATAAACATGGAATTATGTTGATTGCCGATAATGATCAGTTCTTTTTTGTGAGAGCGTGTGTCTTTGAAGAGGGCCAGATTGATCTTTGGCTCCTTACTATGATAATCATGTACGGCTATTATTTCGATTCCGTTTTTTTAAAACATCGGGAGGGAGATGGATCGCCTCCTTTACCCATTGTCCCTCCTCCATTCAGCCTTCTCGGGTATCAACCATTTATTCCACGTAACTTGTCTGAATGGGCTGTTTGTAAATACTGCGGTTCAAATTACATACAAAGGGCCCTTGTGCTTTTACTTCACCGCGGGCTTTGAGTGATTTATGTCCGTTTTTTCTTCTCTTTTGCTAATTCGAAGATCTACAGGTTTGGATTTTACCCTGCGTAATTTTAAAAATAACACTTTGATCAAATAAAAACATAAACACCTCGGATCCATTGGAGCTAAAACGAAATCGACAGCACTAAAGGATGTTTTGAAATACTGGAATGTAAAAAATTACCGATGGCTTGAGGCTGAACTCAATTGTAAAATGACATAAGAGTCAAGACCATTAGAAGGGAATTGTAGCTTATAAAGATACGTTGGCTCCAGTAACAACTTAATTCTCACTAATCTATTCTTGCAGCATAGGATCAAGCCTCCTAAATCTGACAGAACGTCAGTTTTATATAAATCCATGCTTAATTGGTCTTAAGAAAAAACTCACGAAAAACCCGTATTCTTTGAGAAATATTTTGACTTTTATTATACATACAAAAAATTGGACCATGACGCAAGAACGAGGCATTTCGTCATTTTACTCATCAGAATCATAACAGTTTTGCATGTGTGATAATCAAGTATTAGGTCACAGAAACATTGAAACTTCTAACTTCATGGCAAGCTTTCGTTTAATTTGTAAACATCTTCAGGGCCTAGTAAGAAAAAACAAATAACTATAGTCAAATTGATAATTCACAATATTAGGGATATTCACGATCTTTGTGTTAACAAACTCTCTGTTAGATCGAGGAAAATGATAACGTAGAATTGTAAGAATCGCCCTAGTTAACATTGCTCGATCTAACAGGGTGGGGCCAATGTTAGATGTTAGGTCGAAAATGTAGTCACATTGCTATCCGTTAGGGCGTAGGTAACCAATATGGCAGCCATTAATTTAACAGCTGTTTTTTGTTCACACGTATTTTTATTTTTAAATACGCATTAATTAAATCAGACCAATACATTTCTTTTGTTATTTTCTGACCTGTACTTATACTCCCATTCATAACACGTACATCCCCTATCCTATGAAGTTGTAGGTTGTTAGACGTTAGGTTAAAAGTTAGCGTGTCATTTGTTAATACTTTTGGAGTGCATAAATATCATTTCGAATGAAAGAGATTATTAATTTTCCTTTTGTATTAACTTGTGGTATCTTACAATTATTTAACACGAAAGAAAAACAAAACAAACAACAACAAGCCTTGAAGGAGTGTTATAGCTTTATTTTTGGTTCTACCATTCGCCACCGCAGCAGTGCAGAAAAATTAACGTTTAGCCTGCTCAGAAAAGAAAAGGGCGATCACGATCTTACTGGACATTTCTCTATTCGAGTCAACACGAGTTAACATCTTACAAACATCGTGAATTCCCCTATTATTTAAGTATTGAGTAAAGTGATATATGCCCTTTACCGTTCAGAGTAAATTCCTTCTAAAAATGGATTCACAAATATCTGAAGTGGACGAACCCCAGAGGTAAACTTATGATTAAAGAACCATCACAAAAACTGAAAAACCTACTGCTGAGAGTAGTAAGAACTAAAATTCAGGATAGTGATAAGGCCAACTTAATAGCATCGGGGAGAACATCTACAATTACATGGGTATATACAATGATGGCCTCATTTGTAGATTATGAATAAGCAGGATGAAACAACCACCCATATGATCTTCGAATAGCAAGCAACCGCTGCAGACATAACCTGTTATACATGTAGGGAATTAAAGGTCTCCCACAAATAAAAAGATAAAGATTTAAAGTTTATTGGTAAAGAACACATAAACAAAAGTAAAAGGATAACTAGTTAACATTAAAATACATTAGCGTAAAAAGAAACGTGTTCGTAGGACCGCGTGGTGGTAACAACTAAAACTGTCAGCTGGGGCCCAGATAGAGGGGAGAGACAGGGTTCCCGCCATGTAGGGCCTCCGTTGACGTAGTGGCGGTGAACATCCTACATACATAGAAAACCCACGGAGAGGAATTCCAACACTATTGCTTTTTTTGGAAGTTAACGAATTATTAATGTGGTAATTAGGTCAAATCTATCTTTCTATTTTTAAGGTAAAATTATCATTTTGAAGGCTGATATCAGTTGTATCGGAGAAGAATCTGATGCTCTGCATTTTACACTGTTTCTTATATTTGATGAAGGCGTTTCTCCCGGATTTTGCCAGAAATGGTAATAAAGTGATGAGAGGACATGGTGAAGAAGTTTGGTTTAACATACACTTTTATACTCGCAAAGTCCACTGGCAGAAAAGCAGGTCGTTCGACGATGTACGTGAGATGTGTAGAGTTAAAATTTTTTTAAAAACTGTTTTAAATCATTAATAACAATATCAATGAAACAATGATATTAATATTTCATCTCATTACCATTTATGACTTTAACAGCTGTTTTTGTTTACACGTATTTTATTCTTAAATACGCAATTAATTCCATACATTTCTTTTGTTAATTTCTGATCTGTCCTTATACTCTCATTCATAATAGATACATCCCCTATCCTGTAAAGTTGCAGGCGGTTAGAGGTTAGGATACAAGTTAGGTATGTCGACAAGAATTTAACCGTGTCATTTGTTACTAATTTTCGAGTGCACAGATAGCATTTTGAATGAAACAGTTGACTAATTTTCCTTTTTTATTAACTACTGGCATCTTACAATTTAACACAAAAGGAATCCAAAACAAACAACAAGCCTTCAAAGACTCGTATAGGGTTATTTTTGGTTCTATCAATCGCCACGCGCAGCATTGCGGAAAAATTAACGTTCATGCTAAGAAAAGAAGAGGGCGTTTACGATCTTACTGGACATTTCTCTACTCGAATTAACACGAGTTAACATCTTACAAACATCGTGAATACCCCTATTGTCTACTTACTGAGTTAGGTTACAATTTCTTTATCAGATACATATGTAGATGTTTATAAATCCTTGATAATAAATAAATAAATAACATATACAACAATTAGAATTTCAAAAATACTAAAAACAATTAAATTCACTAATTTCGGGGTCCGCTTGACCAATTAATATATTACAATTAATTAAGGTTTTTAGTTGAGATAAAAAAGTCAATGGGACGAGCGGGATTCGAACCCACGATATTCGGCTTGATACGCCGCTGCTCTACCACTTGAGCTATCGTGACCTCGATCCACTCGGACACCAACTTCCCATCTCAACCCCACCTTTTGAATTTTCCCTCCTTTTTGCCATTTTTCAAAAAAACAACTAAAAACAATAATGATAAATTATTTTTTCAACAATGTAAATTTAATAAATAAAATAAAATGGTAAACAACCTTAGGAAATCGGGGGAACAGAACATAGTTCTATCAAAAATAACTTATCGGAATATCGATCAATAAAAACTTTAACATGCATATCTAACATTTCCGAAAAACTAAAAAGGATGTTTGGTACATTTACTTCGAATATTCCGATACCTTATAAATATTGTAACAAAATATCATAATTACACTCAAACGTGAAAATTGATGAAAATGTAAGAAAACTAAGCATATGTAATCTACAAGACAAAATGCAAAAATAGTGACAATATATATACAGGAGAAACGCTACAAAGAGTGGGTGTAAAGGATAACAACAAATATAGCATAACATAAAAAAGATTGCAAAAATCAAAGTAGACACGTTACTGGACTATCACATCATGACAATGAATGAAAACACCTACTCGATTTTGAAAATTACAAAATATTAGACAACGAAAATAGTGCCTAGCAGTTGAAAGTTTAAAGAAATGTTATACATAAAATTAAACAAAAACTACTGTAATATACAAATAGACACGATGGGTGTAAGCAATATTTCTGAGAATATAATTGAATATGAAAAAACAAAGAAAAAGAAATATTAGATACGATCCATGTTTACACTCTATGATCTATAATTGTTATTTCATTGTTATCGTTTTTTTTCTCCGCTCGAAGATTATCATTTCCTAAGATTGTCTGCTATTTTTATTTTTTTTTATTTTTGATATTTTAATTGTTGTTTTTATATGTTATTTGTTTATTATCAAGGATTTATAAAATGTTACATACGTACCTGATAAAGAAATTGTAAACCATTCAGTAAGTAGACAATATTATGAATTTTTTTTAACGTTAGTTACATGCTATACAGTCTATTGACTGATCCTTCGATAAAATAGACAAGCTTAAAATGTCTAATTGAAGTACACAACAAAAATGGACATACTTGAAATTTACCTGACCGGAACAATGACAAAATCCAGGCGAAATCCTTCAAAGAAGAAACGAATAATCACAGACACTACCCTTTTGCATTTTTCATAGGCACAAAAGAGATTAGACAGAAAAAGAAATCCAACCTCGAATATGACTAAATGCCGAACGCTGTCTGGCAGTCAACCTCACAAGAAAGGCAGACGAAAGAATATGCACATGACCCCGAAGACTGCGGAAATCTCGCTATTTAAAAATTAACATCTCACCTATCTCCCCCATAAGTTTCGCTCACCTTCTAATCCCATGGCTGTGTGCAAAGCTTCAATGAATTAGAACAGAAAGTCCCGAGTCGTTCATGGAGTTTATACCATCTATGGAGACACGGCCGTAAAACAGAGTGCTCCTAATCTGCACCCAGATGATAATGGCACATGGATAATTAGTCATTCTCCCGACTACTTTCATATTTCTAAACCCTATTCGGTAGTTGATTAATTATTTCTTTCATAAAACCAAAGGTTACAACTATCTTAAGAGTCATTTATTATTACACAATAGAAATTTATTTTTACTTTATTTATTTTTAATTTAAATATCATGTATTAGCATAAAATCTAACGAATAATTGTAATACGTTGAAGACGAAACTTTTCTCTCTCTCCTCTCTCTCCCTCTCACTCTCACTTTGTCTCCTTCTGTTAATACTTGTTCTTCTCACTCCTCCTTTCCTCAAAGCTCACGCTCTCTCTCTTCTTCTTTCCCATTCTCACTTTCTCCCCGTCCCCAACGCGCTCTCTTTCTGTATCTCGCCATCCACAACACTATTCTCTCACACCCTTCCCTCACGCTCTCTCATTCTCTCTCTTTCCTCTCTCTCTATTTATATTTTTCTTTCTATCTATTTATCTCGCCATCACAGGATCAATCTCTTTTTTCTTTATAGTTTTTGTTTGCCTCTGCAACTCTGATTTATTTTTAATTTTTTTATTTATCTGTCCTATTCTACTTCCACATCGTCATCTCTATTTCTACTTTTAGTGTTTAGTGTGTGTTATCATCTGTCTAATTTATCAACGTCTCTCTCTCTCTCTCTCTCTCTCTCTCTCTCTCTCCTTCTCACTCTCACTTTCTCTCCTTCTCTTAATACTTGCTCTTCTCACTCCTCCTTTCCTCACCCTCACGCTCTCTCTCTTGTTTTCTCCCATTCTCATTTTCTTCCCGTCCCCAACGCGCTCTCTTTCTCTATCTCGCCATCCACAACACTATTCTCCCTTCCCTCACGCTCTCTCACTCTCTCTCTCTCCCCTCTCTCTCTATTTATATTTATCTTTCTATCTGTTTATCTAGCCATCACAGGATCAATCTCTTTTTTCTTATAGTTTTTGTTTGCCTCTGCAACTTTGATTCATTTTTAATTTTTTTATTTATCTGTCTTATTCCATTTTTACATCGTCATATCTATTTCTACTTTTAGTGTTTAGTGTGTGCTATCATCTGTCTAATTCTCACTCCTCCTTTCCTCCCAGCTCACGCTCTCTCTCTTTTTCTCTCTCATTCTCACTTTCTCCCCGTCCCCAACGCGCTCACTTTCTCTATCTCGCCATCCACAACACTATTCTCTCACTCCCTTCCCTCACGCTCTCTCACTCTCTCTCTTTCCTCTCTCTCTATTTATATTTATCTTTTTATTTATTTATCTAGCCATCACAGGATCGATCTCTTTTTTCTTATAGTTTTTGTTTGCCTCTGCAACTTTGATTTATTTTTAATTTGTTTATTTATCTGTTCTATTCTATTTCCACATCGTCATCTCTATTTCTACTTTTAGTGTTTAATGTGTGCTATCATCTGACTAATTTATCAACCTCTCTCTCTCTCTCTCTCTCTCTCTCACTCTCTCTCTCTCTCTCACTCTCTCTCTCTCTCTCACTCACTCTCTCTCTCTCTCTCTCTCTCTCTGTTTATCTCTCTTTCCCATCCTCTCTCTCCTCTCATCATCACTCCCTCCACTAACTCTCTCACTCTCTCAACCTTAAGTAGTAGAAAGTTCCGAGGGGCTTAACTGTGTCGTAAAATAAAACAAATTTTCCTCACTTAATCTCAAGGTGTTCTTAGATGTTGAAGGTTTCTTGAGTTAAAAGACAAAATGGCGATATCATCCCCGAACGTGTTAATGATGGTGTTGGTCTTCGTAGGAAAGTGGGCAGTATAAAAGGTACACAGGATGGGACCAAGAATGCTCCCTTGCGGGCCGCACCTTGTTGGTCCGATACCTGTATTCCCTGCTATATTTCAGTTTGGATCAGTGGTAAGTTAATTTAGATCCCAGTATAAGCTGGATAGGAAATGTTTAACTTTTATGTTTAAAAGACTAACGAAAACCCTGGTCACATCTAGGTATATACCATGAAATTCTCTTTGTTCTCTAGGTCGATGAAACAGTCAACAACTGAACCTTCCTGGATCGATTACCACGGTGTAGTGATAAGGAACGATTTTATGATAATTCAAGATGGATATTAAACTTTTAAAAGGAGTCTTTCGAATTTTTTGGACCTTACAGGGAGAAGGTTGATGAAGTTGAAGGCTGCTAGGGCAGTTTGTGAGCCAGTATTTGTATGACGAAGGAATTCTTTCTTAAGAGGGGAAATAAACAATATTGCAATATTCTGTAAAAAAAAATTTAAAAATGTTCTCGATTAGAAAAGCCGTTTTAACTTGATTTACATACAACGAATCAAATAGCATACTTCATTAGATATCCGCGATTCAAGGCTGAGATACTTTCTAATGTTTTTCTGATATATGCAAAGAAAAGTTTTTTGGCCGGTTTTATTAATTCACTTGATGATTAATATTACCGGTTTGGTTTATCGGGTTTACTATGTGAAAAATGATAAATCTTGGTATGATCTCTGTGTATAATTTTGATTATGAATTCAGTATAATTGTTTTATGCTAGTAATTTGTTATTTTGGAAGTGTAGTATTTTTTATGGAAGAAGAAGATAGGACTCCTTACCAGAAGATTGACTATTCTCCCTCGTGATGATAATGATGATCAACGATAATCCTTCCATCATTGAATCATATACGGATTTTGTTCCAATGAAAATTCTTTGATTTTTTTACTATCAACAGGACTAAAACAAATCAGTTTTTTTTTGTAAATTTCTGATCAGTCAACCACGATATCATCGTTCTTTCTGGGACTTGGCTTTGCGAAAATATTTCTCCTAAAGAACTTTTCTCCGACGAATATCTTGTTTTCAGGAATGATCGTTTTTCTGGTAACAATGTGAAGCTCGGAGATAGTGTTTTGATTGCGGTACATATTAAAATTAACTTTACAATTAATTAAGGTTTTTAGTTGAGATGAAAAAAAGTTAATGGCACGAGAGGGATTCGAACCCACGACCTTCGGCTAGATACGCCGCTGCTCTACCNTAAATGGACATCTAAAGAAAATTGGAATAATCCAAGATGGCACATGTAGATTCTGCAAGGAAGCAGAAGAGACACCAACACACTTACTAACAAACTGCTGAGCCACACTAGCCCGCAGGAGGAAGTGTTTTGGGATGTACAATGTGACCATAGAAGAACTACACCCACTGAAACCGGGCCTATTAATCAAGTTTCTTGATGAAATAGGACGCACCGATGTGCTTTAAGCAGAGCACAGGGGATACAATAGCTCTTAAAGGGCGCAGTATACCATACTGAAATATTACATCTACATCTTCCTTTATGTTTTCTTGCAATAAACTTATTATTATTATATTATTACTATTCAATTAATTAAGGCTTTTAGATGAGATAAAAAAGTCAGTGTCACGAGCGGGATTCGAACCCACGACCTTCCGCTAAATACGCCGCTACTCTACAACTTGAGCTATCGTGACTTCGATCCACTGGGACACTAATTTCCCATCTCAACCTCACCTTTTTGCCATTTTTCAAATGTCCTGTAATCTATTTTATTCTCGGCGACAAATGAAATAGCCAGGGAGAGCTTTAGTGAAGGTACTTCATTTAAACTTATTAAATTCACTAGTTTTGACCAATGAATAGCTTTGAATTAATTAAGCTTTTTAGTTGAGATAAAGTTCGAATCCCGCTCGTGACACTGACTTTTTTATCTCAACGAAAAACCTTAATTAATTGAAAGTTATTAATTGCTCAAGCGGACCACGAAAACTAGTGAATGGAATTATTACTATGATATTATTTTTCAAATGTAATGCCTAGATTTTTTTACATATTCTAAGGCTAGATTTTTTTTTATTGACCATTCGGATTTATTTTGTTGAAATTGCCACAAAATTGGTGGAAATATCCTCGTTAAAAGATTTTCGAAAGGAAGAAACAAAACTTTTTTTAAACCAAATTTAATGTTTATTCATTTTATTATTAATTATTACATACTTTTCGACATGATGAATATCTCTACCGCCGATAAAATAGTTTTGGGGCAAGTGATTAATGTCTGGCGAATAAAATCGTACGATGATCGGATCTACGACCTCACGCGTCGCTTGTAACAATGGCCATTACGCAAAAAGAGAAATAAGAAGCATGTCCAGCCCACACAACTTTATTCAAATACGACACGGCCATCATCAATTTCGGGATCGTCCCGGTTCAATGAAAGAGGGAAAAGGTTAATTAAATGCAAAGAAGGACGATATCTCAATTTCTCTTTGGCCCAGGAGTCCGCTGGCGACATGTGCACCTATGGCCTATTAATCAGATTCCTTTCTTCTCGGATCGGAACTAGTTTCAACCTCATTCATTATACAAATGAGTCTCCTTATGAAACTCCTTAGAACTTTTTATTTATTTGTATATATTTTGACATTATTAATAATGGCTGGAGTCAAAGGAAAAATTATCCTCTGTCGATGATTGCTCAAGAAACGGCGACAACTTCCGGTTATAAGCTCTATGAGATTAAAATGACGGGATTATTTAACTTATGGCAAATGAAAAATCAGAGATATATTTGAATTTACTAGTTTTCTACCTTGTTCTACAAGTTCTTGAATCGTCTCAATTATTGTAATTTATTAATTAGTTCAGAAGTCTAGATTTTGATCATTTTGATCTACCAATGCATTGGTTTACTATATTTTCTTCTCACTTCTAATGTAGGTTTTCGAGATTTGTCATTTTTGCCCTTGTTTCTTTTTTTTTCTCCTCTAACTTTTCTGTGGGAGGTTTTTGAATCTGTCAATTGAAATTTCCAAAATTTCCACTAATTAAATCCATTATGTTTAGTGATCTGGTTGACCGAATTACTTCTTTCAATTAATTGTTCTTTTTATGCAAGGACTTGGTTGAGATGAAAAAGTTAGTGTCACGAGTGGGATTCGAACCTACGACCTTGGGCTCAATACGCCACCGGTCTAACCATATGACCCATCGTGACTGCGATCCTCTCGGACACCAATTCCGCATCTCAGCGTACAACCTTTCTAATTTTCCCTCTTTTTGCCATTTTTTGCCATTTTTCAAATGTCGTGTAATCCTCGACCTTACATAAAACGAATAATTAATTGAAATAATTAATTTGCTCAATTAGACAACTAAACATAAATGGATTAATATTTAATAAGTAAAGAAGTATCACTTCACTAACAGCTCCCCGTAGCCACTTCATATGTCGCCGAGAATCGAATCCTGATTACACGACACGCTGACCGAGTGGATCGAACTCACAATCAAGTGATTAGAGTAGCGGCGTATGGAGCCGAAGGTCGTGGGTTCGAATCCCGTCGTGACACTACCTTTCCGTCTCAAAAAGAATTATTAATTGAAATAACTAATTTGGTCGATTAGTCCACTAAACATAAATGTTGTAATATATTACAATTAATTAAGGTTTTTAGTTGAGATGAAAAAAAGTTAATGGCACGAGAGGGATTCGAACCCACGACCTTCGGCTTGATACGCCGCTGCTCTACCACCTGAGCTATCGTGACCTCGATCCACTCGGACATCAACTCCCCATCTCAACTCCACCTTATGAGTTTTCCCTCCTTTTGCCATTTTTCAAATGTCGTGTAATCGGTTTGGATTCTAGACGACAATTGAAATGGCGACGGAGAGCTTTAGTGAAGTGTACTTCATTTTGGGACACCCTCGTTGTACCCAAGGTTTGGGAGAGGCCACAGGAAACAATGAAGGAACCTGGAGTGAGAAAGGGACGTGGATGAGGACACGAGGTACACCTTTCTTGGGCCTTGAGCCTTAACCACATTTTACCACCGTCGTTGTAGTTCCACATTAAGTGGATCACGACTCCCTGGGTGGATCCCACACTTGCGCGTATAACACAGAATTGAGCGTGACACCGCGTTAAAGATACGCAGCTTAGCCTTTAGCGGGATCTGGGGCTACATCATTGCTTCTCGCCAAACATAATTAAGGGGAAACTTGGTCGAACACTACTTCTCCGTGAAGTGCGGTTTCCAAGAAACTTGATAACTAAGTTGTACTCCTAGGTGTGTATAGCGATTTACCAATTCTATATCCTGACCTTTGTGTTTCCAACGCTCTTTCGAGCCAAGCCTACCTCCCCTGCGGAAAACAACTATCTTCCACTTTTCCAGATTCGCCCTAAGATTCCACGTATCACGGTATTCCTTTAGCTTGGCAATATTCTCTTGTAAGCAACGTGGATTGTCAGCAAGAATTACAATATCCTCAGCGTACATGAGTGCTTTTATGTCTCTACTTCCCACTGACCCCACCCGTCACCACTATATCCTCAAAATCGTTCAAGAACAACAATCTAATAATGTAAAATACATATCCGAAAAATCATTCCTCGGCTCGTATTGACACGAATGCCCTGTAAGACAAATGTGTACTATTTTTCGACTAAGTATCACTAAAAAATTTTTTCATTAAAAACGCGATCCCATGCCTAACAGCCCCTATTAAGTTCGTCAAGATTTTGAGGAATATAAGTACTTTGAAACTTAAATTTGCACAGAACTAGATCAAATATGGACAGAATTAAAGGTCATAATTGATCTTATAAACTATGGGGGTTACCACTTAAATTTTTATTCTACAGCCTTTCGTTTTCGAAAAACGTGGGTGTCACATTGAAATAGAACCACCCTGTATATATTATACACGCAAAGCTATAAAAATGTTTTGAGAAAGCATTTTAAAGGAGATTAGATAGACTGGAGAAAAATTGATTTTTGCTATCATTAATTATAGATTATGTGATATTTAGCCTCTCATTAATAACGATTATGTGTAATAGATCAGGTTTTATATATTTAGCGAATCAAAACAGATTTTGTCATACGTCACGTTACATAAATACGGCTAATGGACCGTGGCTAAATAATTCAACAAATAGCCAGTTAAAGGAACGAAATATTTCCAGAACGCCCACGATCCGGACGTCTTTTGGTAAATAACCGTTTGACGTAAAAGAAGCGTGACATTGCGTAATTTACAATTCGGGTGTGAAACGACAATTTCTAATCCTTTGATTGAGATGGCCCTAACTCGGTCCCCGACGGTACGGAACCCATTTGGACACGGCTGTACAAACGCCGTGATCATCCCCGGCTATAACTTTGCGGATTATATTAGCCACGGAGTCACGGGGCCCCGACCTTCTCGAACGACAGCGG